TTTTTTGTTTTTCCGTTTTTAAAACGAAAATAGAAAAACGGCATTTGCAAAAATGAAAAAAAGGGTACTTTTTGGGATTTTTTTAACTGCAATGGTTTAACCAAAGACAAACTTTTATTTTGTTGTTCATTTATGGCAGAACCGGAAATGAAGACCTGAACTACCGCCACCTACTGGTAACTAAAAAAGTTATGTGTTGGGAGTTCAGGTCTTCATTTCCGGTTCTGCCATAAGGTCCGTAGAATTAACAACAAAATAAAAGTTTGTCTTTGGTTTAACCATTGCAGTTAAAAAAATCCCAAAACGTACCCTTTTTTCATTTTTGCAAATGCCGTTTTTCTAATTCATTATTTCGTTTTAAAAACGGAAAAACAAAAAACCACAAGCTCGTTTTGTTTTTTCGTTTTTGTTTTGAAACGAAAAAAAAAACAAAGAACGAACCATACATGGATTTCTGCAGATTCAGATACCAGAACTTTGTTTAATGTTCTAATCATGACGATGATGCTTAAGATTCAGCCAACATGGCTGATTTCTAACTCCTTGGTTCTGCTGGAAATTGAAGTGGAGCTGCCGGGTCATCACGTTGATCGCAGCGCTCAGAGGGGCCCTAGTTAAAGTGCAGAAGCGGGTGTCTGAGGCTTAACAGAACTGCCGGCCGCTGACTGTTTCTCTAAAACAGGCGGCTGCTTAGAACGGATTATACAGACAGGAAGAAAAACGGACCAGATTTGGTATTCTGACAGACCAGCATACCCACAGTCAATACCGGTTTATCTCTTTAATTTTTCCCTTTAGTTTGGTATAAAAACTTTAAACTCCCTCAACGGGCGTGTATCTCTTTAGTCATGTATTAAAAAAAAAATAAAAATGTCTTACTTACTTTTTGGTGTTTTTTGAAGCGTATGGCGATCTGATCTTAAATAGTTTTTTTTGTGCATGTACATGACTGAAGGGATACACGCCCGTCGAGGGAGTTTAAAGTTTATTTTTCGTACAAAACTAAAGGGATAAACTCAAATGTGACGTCTTGCGCTGCGTATTGACTATAGGTATGCTGGTCTGACAGAACACCGGTCGGATTTACAAGGCAAAAACAACGTGCATGTTTTGGATCTCATTTCCTGGACTATTATTGAATAAAAAACTCTGTTCATTCAGTTTATCAACAGTCGTAATAAATATGAAAACTGAACCTTAACAACGACAGAGGTGGAGTGATTAGATAAAAGAGACGGACCACACTCTGGTGGTTCTGTTAAAATAATCACTTTACTGGTTCATTGATCTATTTCCAGCCAACCAGCTCACTGCTGCAGCAGCAATGATGCAACCCTGATGTGATCAGAGCCGCTCGGCTCTGAAAAGGCTCGCAGAGGAACAGAGTATCTGGGAGAATATCGATACCGGCCCAGTTAGCGACGATATTTAAGCTCTGTAAATATTCCATGCACTACCTCAGTCATGGTTAAATTGGGTTTTTATGCATTAACTGGGCAGATTTAGGAAATCTGGAGCCCTAGGCAAAGACAGGCAGGGGGCCCTCTGAATGCAGAAGACGACACATAAAACAGACCCATTATACAGTGTAATGGATAGTGAGTTATTGAAAATGAATTGTGTAATTTATTTTTAATGTAAATTATTGGAAGTGAATTTTATAAATGTTGCAGATTGTTTATGGATGTTTGTTTTGATTAGCATTGTTTGTAGTTTGTTTAATGGTATTTGTACCTTGTAATGTTTAAGGTTTTTTTGGACCTCACAGGCTGCCGTAGCAAATGAGGGCAGGCCCTATAAATGCTGGTGGGATCATTGTACTAATGAATGACTAGAACTTTCAAGCTGTTTGTCATCAAGCAAGCAATCAACTCTTGGTGTTCCCTAGTGAAAGCAGCGAGGTATGTTTAGTTATTTGGATAGAAAATTGATGTTTTGTATTCTAATATTTGTGTATGTGGTATATGTTTTAGTTTTCACAGTGACTAAAGTATCTGTGGTGACTGCGATGAGGATCTCCATCTAAGATAATAAAATAGAATAGACATCCATTATCTGTTCTAGGTTGTGTCCCTCTCTTCTTGTCCCTTTTCTTCTTGTTTTCCTCTCTATGTTTTGTACTCAGCTGACTTTTCATGCTGTCTCTAAAGGAATGAAAGATTGTTTCCAAGCACTAAGCTCACTTAGCTGATTGCTCCTTCCCGTGTTTCCAAAAAGGCCAAAGTAAATAACCCAGTCCTTCTTTTCACTGTAGACAAGCCATGATCTGCTTCTCTGTTCTCCATTTTTCATTTGGATGAAATAATAGCTGCATGAATCATGACAGCAGACAAGATAGAGGAGAGCAGGAGGCGGGGTTACCAATCTACTCGCTCTGGAGAGCAGAGTTCGCTGCTTTTAGATGTTGTCTCCAAAGTCTCCAGTAGCTTCATGACTGGAGTCTATCGTGCTATTGCTTGGTTGGAAAGAAAACCTCCAGCCGCACGGCCATTTCTGGAACTGGTTTGAGACCCATGATTTAAAGTGTGATGATGAAAAGTGGGTCGAAGAAGATGAAAGATACCAGAAACGATGCAATTGTGGGGATGCAACCACAGACCCTCACCTGTCCCTCCTCATCAAAGGCCATGACCACCACCGCAGCGCCGTAGCGCTTCACAGCGGCCGCTCTGAGCAGGAAGTCCTGCTCTCCTTCCTTCAGGCTGATGCTGTTGACGATGCACTTCCCCTGGCAGCACTTCAGCCCAGCTTCAATCACAGAGAAGTTGGAGGAGTCGATGCACAGAGGTACCTGCAGGAGAAATGGACCTCAGTGGTTAGAATGGTTCTATACAGGGGAAAAAAAATAAAATTTAAGTAAGAAATTCCGACCCGTGCAACATCTGGCTCCGATGCGATAAAGTTACAGAACCGAGCCATGGCTGCGGGCCCATCCAGCATGCCCTCATCCATGTTTATATCCAGAACCTGGGCCCCCATCTCCACCTGGGCCTTGGCAATGCTCAGTGCTTCCTGAGGAGAACATACAGAGGAACCCACTGAGAACAAACCATCTGCTGCCTGCACTGCTGGCTTTACTGAGACTTCACTGATGCTGTTATCAAAATGATAGGAGAGGAAATCACCTCGTACTGGCCGGCCATGATCAGCTTGGCGAAACGCCGTGACCCCGCCACATTGCAACGCTCGCCGATGTTCACAAAGTTGGTGTACGGTCCAATTCGAAAGGGTTCCAATCCTAAAAGTGGGTTGTTGTTTTTTATTATTTTGCAATAATTTTTTTTTTTAAAGAACAGGCTCAAACCTTAAAACTGAACAAATTTTATGAAAGAACCTTTGCTTTCCATAAAAACGCAGTCGGCTCCTGGCCTGGGCCTCCAATAACACATCACATAACAATGTCATTCAATACATTTAAAGTTTTTAATGTTGAATTCCTTCCCTGCTACTTAGGCTAACCTGCTCTCCATGAGGAACGTTTGGCAGTCAGTTACATCGTCCGCTAATGCTAAGCTCATTAGCATTAGAATTAGCTAATGTAAACGCTGATCCTTACTGTCACGACCAGATCTGCACCATCAACAAAACAATAAGTGGGAAAGCAATGTGCATTCCCACTTATTGTTTTGCTCTTTTTAGTTTTCTGACTTTAACTAGTCCCGCAGTTTCAACCGATATCAACAAGTTTGGTATCAAAACATTGAGCTTGTTCAGTGGAATTCTGCTTTGTCTTTTGGTAAAGATATTTTTTTGTAGTTTTCGCGATATTCTGCTTTTTCTGCCTTTTTTTTGTCCCATTGAAATGCATGTAGAATTCTGAGATTTCGGCAAAATTCAGCTCAAACTTCACCATCTTTCCTTTAACTACTTCAGCATACTTTCAGCTAGAAACACCATTCAACTTTTATAATGTTGATCAAAGATTCAGCTATTCCGATTTAACTCAGCTTCTGATATCTTTGGCAGTTTTTCTGAAATTTGGAGTGAAAATTTACACAAATTTTTTCAGGTTTTCAATTTTATAATGGAAGTCTATGGACGGAATTCTTCAACTGTCAGAGTGCGTGCTCTAGCTTTTGAGCCGTTCTGGTTTTTCTGAACAAATTCTTCTCACTTGCTCAGTTTTCACTCAATTTGAATAAATTTTACATCAAAACTTAGGAATTTTTCTCAGGATTCAGGAAATGTAAACCTCATTTGTGTGGGGTTTAGAGTTATCCTCCAGTTTGGCACAGACCACCAAGAAGTCCCAATAGAAATCCAATGAGAGACTTTCCAAAAATCACAGCCGAAAATCGAAAAACCACTCATGTTTTAGTATCGTTGCTACTTCTCAAGAACATCTCCAGACCCTTCTTGCTCTCATATTGAAATTATTTTTTTCCATATCATTTATGGTTTAGTTTTTGCTAAGCTGTTCAGGCATAGGAAAATTATGGTTTTGGAAAAAAAATCTCAGACTGAAATCTTTCAAAACTAAACACATTTTTACATCGTCACCATGGCCAAATAATTTTTGATAGAAACATGAAAGCTAGCATATTTATTTACCCTGCTGATTCCTACAGTCTAAACATTTTTTCTGTATCTATCGGTTTTTTTAGTACATGGCTAAAGGGATACACGCCCGTTGAGGGAGTTTAGAGTCTATTTTCAATACTAAACTAAAGGGAAAAATTAAAGAGATAAACAGAGATTGACTCTGGGTATGCTGGTCTGACGGCGTATGCTTCTCTGACAGAACACCGGCCCACAAAAAGGTAACAGGGAGGTGCCCTTTGTTGTGGTGAATGTGTTCATGGATTCATTCGATGTTGATTCTGCTGATCCCTGTGATAAATGTTTGGTTAATGAAAAAAATAGGTCTTCAATGTGTTTGTTTTACTAAAGATGTGGACCGGAAATGTAGCATAAACCAAGCTAATCAACAATAACTAAGACAGACCGTTGGCTGCAGCTGGCAGGAGGAAATAGACTCAGATAAAATGATAAGGAATGATTGAAAACTGTCAGGAGCTAATCTGGTACAGTGGTTCTCCAGGGATCAACAAGGGTTCATCTGAAGATGTTTTATAACTGATTGGGGACCTTTAGTGTATCATTTCAGATAGTTATTAGAAGTAGTTTTGCTGTTTTATGAGCATAGACTTCCAGGCGTAGGTCTACATTTCTATCACTCAGTTTGGATGAAAGAAAGTTCCTCATCATAAAAAATAAGAGGTAGTTAAAGGAAAACTAAATGGGACAAGACCTGCATGATCAGAGAATGATGGTGTCAGAGGTAACCGCCCATTTAATGTTCATTTATTAGGTTTTGGCTTGTAGCTCCAAATATTAAATAAGGGAGTCATTTCTCCTTTCGTTTAGGATTGCCTTCAAGGAGAGATGTGACAAACAGGCCTTAATGCTTCCAGTGGTCCTAATTAAGCCTCCAATAACCTCCAATTATAATGGTTCGGGTTGTCAAAAGTATTGATACTCTTAAAGTATTGATATCCAAACACTGCAATCGATTACGTTAGCAATTTAGCATGCTATCGATACCAAAAAAAAGTGTTGTTTGCATATGTTTTACTGTTCTTAAGCCTTTATAGGGCCTCAGTGAAATACTTTGAAAATTAACATTTCCAGCCAATAGTGTTCTTGGAATCCAGAGCTTATTACCTTTGTAACATTCAAAAAATGTGGATATTTTGATGGAAAAAAATGAATGACAATGTGATAGATAACAAGAAACGCCAACTTCCCCGAATATGTTAAGAAAAATAACAAAAGTGCTTCTAGAAGAAATTCATGAAAAACCCTCAGAGTGAAAGAAACACATTTCTTTGGTCCAACATAACCTTAGAGGCATTAATGCTGATACTGGCACTGACATTTTTTAGTTTATAAACCTAAATATAATTGTTAACTAGGCTTATTAACTTTTTAACTTTTCAATTAAATTTTTCCATTTTTTCTTAACTTGTTAACTTTTTTTCTCCAACTTAATTTCCAGTAGGTAATAATCATTGAAGGGCTCATCAAATTGGTCAAATGCCAAAATAAGAGCTTGTGCTTCTAGAGCTCACTGAGGGACGGGGTGTGGACTCCATTTGAAAGGCAAGTGATCAAAAAAACAGTAACTTGCCTTATAAAGGATTCATTTCAATCAATCAAACCTAAAAATATTCTCATTTTCTGATATTTGGTTTATTTATTAAACACCTTAACTAAGAAAGATCAGTCAGTGTTAAGATTGAACATTAACATTCTAAAAGATGTTAATGTTTTAATGCATTTCATTAAATGGCATTTTTCATTCCCACGGTACTGAAAATGGTATCGAGTATTGAATATTTTACTGGGTATCAATATAGAGTTTGAAATCTCAGAATCATGACAATCCTGATATCTTAAAAAAAATGAATCATCTGAGTTGTTCAGTTCTCAGTATCTCTCCAGTTTCTGTACCTGAGAGAAGCAGGTGGTCTTTAAAGGCATCCACAGGAGGAACTCTTGGCTTGCACGCTTTCACTGCCTCTGATATGGCTCTGGGGGGGGCAAAAAGACAAAAGATCACTAAAACCTGCTGACACATCAGACCTCCGGCTCCCAGGAACACCACTCTGACCTGATATGTGCAGGCGTGGTCCCACAGCAACCTCCGACAATGTTCACCAATCCATCCGCAGCAAACTCCTGCAGAAGACGCAACATTTGAGGGCATGCAGGCAGCTGGCGGACGCACAACACTTAAAAACCTAAACTCAACCTAAACAGGAGGCTAGAGTAAAAACTGAGGCCAAGCTTTATGTATTAACAACAATAATCTAACTCACAGGAATGACCCTGTGACCTTTGACCTCCATGTAAACCATGCAGGTCCAACCTTTACTTAGACGTTCAGGCCTCCTGGGCAACATTGGAAAACAATACTCCCTCTATGCTGATGATGTGATCCTCCTCCTGCCAGCAATCCTAGTTTAATCTGGTCAGACCAGGTCATGATGTTTATCTGGAGGATCATCAGGAGGTTTTCCGTAAAAGTTCAAAAAATGTCCACTGGACTTGGTTTCCAAGATTTAAAGACGTTTCGCCACCTCTCCAGGAAGCTTAACAATCATAGACAGGTTTCAGGTATTACAGGAGACAATCCCCCCCTTTAATGACCGACCTTCAGAATCATAGACAGGTTTCAGGTATTACAGGCTAACAATGGAACCAAACGACCAAACTCGAGAAAGCTTCCTGGAGAGGTGTCTTCAAATCTTGGAAACCAAGTCCAGTGGATATTTTTTGAACTTTTATGTAATGACTCTGACCTGGATGACTGAGAGTCTTCATCAGCATCAGGAGGTTTAGGCCCGTTTGTCCGCAGAAAGCCTGCTAACATGCTGCTATACAGCATGGTTAGCTCCCCAGGACGTCAGGGTGGGAACATCAGCCTGTTCCTATATTTATCCTTAGTTCATAAGCTATAGCTCATTTTTCTCCCCATATTGGCTCACATTTCTGAATTTAACTCTGGATTTATATATATTTCACTGTTGTTTTAGTTAGTTAATCAATGCGGGCAAATCTTTATACTCCAAACAGAAATGTTAAGAGCAGCAGCATCAGCTATCAGGCCGTTTAATCAACCAGTATGGACTGGTGTTCTTGCCAAGTATGTTCTTGAGAAGAACCCATGAAAGTCTGGAATCGGGGAGAACGGGAGCACGCAGAATAAATGTGGGTCAATTGGAACATAAACGTACTGATGACATCACCACATTCAAAGATAGTCTGGAGCTGCATTTCACCTTCTGTAATTATTAGTCTAAATTATAAATTATGTCTGTTTTTCATTTATTGGGGTAATTATAATGAACACAGTCAGATAAACACGAATCGAATGAAAAATTTGTCAAATAAAAATCAAACCTCCATCAGAGCTAGCGGTATTTCACACACGGCTACGCAGAGAGAGGGCTGCTGCAGACGGGCTAACGTTAGCCCTGGCTGCTGCAGACGGGCTAACGTTAGCCCTGGCTGCTGCAGACTTGCTAACGTTAGCCCTGGCT